TTGATAGTAGCTATTCTACTGGGTGGGAGGTGGTATCTTATTTCAGTTTTTATTCACATTTCCCTAATAATTAGTGATTTTGAGATTCTTTTTACGTGCTTCTTGGCCATTTGTATGTCTTTGGAGAAATGTCTGCTCACGTCCCTTGCCGATTTCTGAATCATTTTTTTATTATTATTATTGAGTTTTAGGAGGTCTCTATATACTCAGGATATTAATCCCTTATCAGGTATATATGATTTGCAAATATTTTCTTCCAATCTGTGAGTTGCCTTTTACTCTGTTGATATTGTGGTTATTATTATTATTAATTGCAGTAACATAAATTATCCATAACACTACATGGTGTAATGGAAAGAGCACTATATCAGGAGATGAGATTTCAAGTCCCTGTTTTCCATTTACTAACTCTGACTATATGCTCAAGAATACTCAGGTACTTGGGCCTGGCCCCGTGGCCGAGTGGTTAAGTTCGCGCGCTCCGCTGCAGGCGGCCCAGTGTTTCATTGGTTCGAATCCTGGGTGTGGACATGGCACTGCTTATCAAACCACACTGAGGCAGCGTCCCACATGCCACAACTAGAAGGACCCACAACGAAGAATATACAACTATGTACTGGGGGGCTTTGGGGAGAAAAAGGAAAAAAATAAAATCTTTATAAAAAAAAGAAAAAGATCTGTAGATCTTCATTAAAAAATAAAAAAATAAAAATAATACTGAGGTACAGAGTTCTTGGTTTGAATTCTAGGTCTACCACTTATTAGCAACCTGACCTCAGGCAGAATTTTGAGACTTAGTTTCCTCATCTGAAAAATGGATACAATAAATCCCACCTTATATGTTCTTAGGTGATTAACAATACTATATATAAAGTACCTGGCACATAGTAGATGATTATTATTTGATATTATTTTAGTGGGGTTTTTTTTCTCCTTGGGATGCTTTACTTGCATACTTCAGTGATTTAGAAAGAGATTATCCTAGAATGGTTTTTATCTCAGTAAATAACATAGAGACTACTTAATGCCTAGTTCCATCCCAAAGACTAGAAATAAAGAACAGGGGCCTGGGATATAGCTTCCTGGGATGTCTTATCAAGTTCTTTCATAAAGGAAAAAGAGATGGAAAGACAGAGCAATCAATTACGTTTAACTGGAATTTCAAAAGTTTCTTCCTTAGTCCAAGATGTTCAGAATCAAGCCATACGATCAATGACATTAACAGGAGGGAGGAGTACAAATTCCAGATTGTTCTCTGCAGCAAATGAAAATGTAATAAGGAGAGTCATTTGATAGCAAATCTTTGCCTTTCCATATGGCATATAATAAATGTGTATATGATTCCAAAATTTTTATTGGATGTTCAAATGTGTAGGTAGTCAAACTACCTTCAAGTGTAATTATGGTATTCAAATGTTAATTAAAATACTAAACAATATAATTATACAAGTAGAGCTGTACAATTATCCCTCTGATAAAGAGAACCAAAAAGAAAAGGTAAAGCTTTGTTTGATAACACATCATGTCTAGTTCTCTCCTGAAAATAATAAATATCATAAAGTATAAAAACAATATATCCCATAATAATATTTTAAATACAAGGGCTAAAACAAAGGAAGGCAAATTATATATATTTGGATTGGTTTGAAAATATTAAAAGCTAACAGGATTAATACGGTCTACAGAAAATTGTCCTCAAGGACCATATTCATTAAGCCATTTTATAAATATTAGTATACACTATCGTTATATCATTCTAACAAGTTCTCTTTATAGCCTTCTTTTATTTTTTTAAAGATTGGCACCTGAGCTAACAAGTTTTGCCAATCTTGTTTTTTTTCCTGCTTTTTCTCCCCAAATCCCCCCAGTACATAGTTGTATATATTAGTTGTGGGTCCTTCTAGTCGTGCCACTCTGGACGCCACCTCAGTATGGCCTGATGAGCAGTGCCATATCCGCGCCCAGGATATGAATCAGCAAAACCCTGGACCCACAAAGCGGAGTGGGCATGACCTTAACCACTCGGTCACTGGGTCGGCCCCCTAAGACCTTCTCTAATGAACTATGACGTGAAGCATTTATTCACTATTTGTACCAGCACAAAATATTTCACTAATTATTACTAGTTCTTCTTAATAGTGACTATCACAGGTGTTATATCAATGAACCTATAAAGGCACATTGAGCTAAGAGTTTTCCCTGGAACAATGGTTCTCAAACTTCTTGGTCTCAGGATCCTTTTACACTCGTAAAAATTATTGAGGGCACCAAGAAGCTTTTGTTTATGTGTGTTATAGCTATCCTATTCATTTTATGAGAAATTAAAACATTTAAAATATTATTTATTAATTCATTTAAAATAACAATAAATTCATTGCATATTACCATACATAACATTTTTATGAAACATAATTACATTTTCCAAAACAAAAAAAGAATGTAGTGAGAAGAGTGGCATTGTTTTACATATTCAAATCTCTTTAATATTTAGCTTAATAAAAGATAGCTGGATCCTCATATCTGCTTCTCAATCTATCAGTGCAAAATGTTGCTTTAGTTGAAGTTTGTAAAGAAAATCTGACCTGACATAGATACGTAGTTGCAAAATTGAAGAGTATTTTAATAACATTTTTGGATAATTGAAGATATTTTTCTTTGATACAATATGCAACAAGTAATATTTTCTTACAGGCTAGTTACAATATAGAATCTGAAAATATATCAATGCACTTTTTAAAGTGTTACATTAAAATTTAGTGGTCTAGGGTCCAGCCCCATGACCGAGTAGTTAAGTTCACGCCCACTCCGCTTCGGTAGCCCAGGGTTTTGCTGGTTTGGATCCATGACGCAGACATGGCACCAGTTGTCAGGCCACGGTGAGGTGGCGTCCCAGGTGCAACAACTAGAAGGACCCACAACTAATATATACAACTATGTACTAGGGGGATTTGGGGAGAAAAAGCAGAAAAAAAAAGATTGGCAAAGGTTGTTAGCTCAGGTGCCAATCTTTAAAATTTAGTGGTCTAGGGGCTGGCCCAGTGCCGTAGCGGTTGAGTGTGCACATTCTGCTTCTCGGTGGCCTGGGGTTCGCCTGTTTGGATCCCAGGAGCGGACGTGGCACCGCTTGGCACGCCATGTTGTGGTAGGCATCCCACATATAAAGCAGAGGAAGATGGGCACGGATGTTAGCTCAGGGCCAGTCTTCCTCAGCAAAAAGAGGAGGATTGGCAGCAGTTAGCTCAGGACTAATCTTCCTCAAAAAAAAAAAAATTTGGTGGTCTATCTGACACTTTTAATGGATCTTTAACCCATGCGTGACTTTGTAACATCACGCATTAGTTATTTGGAAAATGGGTCACTGATTTATGTAGATCTTCCAGATGATGGCACGTTTTATTACACAATATCAAAAAGTCACACTTGTTAATATTGCCACCAATTTTATCAGAAATTCTCCATGTTTTCAGAAACTGTCAAGCTAACCGTGGTGGATACAATTTCCAAAATTCTAAGTTTTGCATGGAAGTTCAAATTTTCTCATTGGCAACAAATATTGTCAGTTATTTTTCTAGAAGTTGCAGGCTTATTTGGTTTGTTTTCAGAAAAAGGGTCTGCCAAATTTTCAAGTGTAAATAGCCACAGTTTGTCTTCCAGTTGTTCTTTCAAGTAAAGATAAGTTTCCATTTAAAAAAGAAGCTGGTTCAGCATGCAATCCAAACAATCACACATGTGCTTTTCCTTAAGACAACCATCACGCTTCTGGATGCAACGGAAATGCTGTATGCGTATTTCCTATTTTGTCACACAGAATATTGAAACGATGTGTACTCAAGGAGTGAAATTTAATATAAAGGTTAATAATTTTTACTGCTTTATTAAAGACTCCTTAAATGAAACTGGCTTTTTTTTTTCCTGCAACTGTATGGCGGTAGAGAATATAGGTACTACTACTAGTACAGTTGGTACCACTGCCTTGATTCCTGCTAAGGCACTTGCAATTTAACCCACCATTGTTTTTGTGCCATCACTGCAAATGTGAACACCATCAAATAACGCCCTAGTATTATTACAAAAATGTTTTTGACCTCTTGGCACCTCTTTTTTTTGGTGAGGAAGGTTGTTGCCAATCTTCCTCATTTTGCTTGAGGAAGATTTGCCCTGAGCTAACATTTGTGCCAACTACCTCTATTTTGTATGTGGGAAGCCGCCACAGCACAGCTTGATAAGTGGTATACAGGTCCATGCCCAGGATCTGAACCCACAAACCCTGGGCTGCTGAAGTGGAGCACCCGAACTTAACCATTATGCCACTGGGCCGGCCCCCCATCTGAAATATTTTTCAGGGCCCCTCAGAGGTCTGAGGACCACACTTTAAGAACTTAGGATCTAGAATGTGAGCTCCGTGAAAGCAGAGAGGTTGTTTTCTTCAGTTATATTTTCAATACTGTTGTAACTAGAACAGTGCCTGCCACACAGTAGATGATTAATAAATATTTCCTAAATATATTACTAAAGCAAGGACAAATGGAAGATTAATTCTCTGTGGAAAACAGAATAACTTAAAATGAATGGTTTTTTTTTTTTTTTTTACTACATATAGCTCAATAATTAACCAACACATGCTGTAAAATGGTATGCAAATCTAGTTTCATGATTGTCATTTTCTTTGCTGAAGATTCCACCAGCTTCTAAAATATGAGCAAAGAGACTAAAAGACCTATATGAAGGAAGAAGTGTAAAATGTGTCAGAACCATAGAATAAATGCTATTTGTTTTACAGAAGCACAGAGCTGAACTGCCTTCAGGGATCATATAGCCCAATTCCTTCATTTTCACAAATGAGAAAACAGAGTTGCCTGGGGGACTAAATGACTGGCCCAAAGTCATAGAGTGAGTGACAGGACTAAAATATAGGATCTTTCACATTTTCTCTTGCACATGGAAATGATGGGATTGATAATGGGAAGCAAGAGAAGAACTTTTGTGTATTTCTCCTATAGGAGAGTGGCCAAGCAAGCTAAGAGTATTCCTTAAACCGCTCCATGGGCATTTTAGGACAGAAGAGGAACCTAAAGGTAAAGGATAGAGCACCTAAATATACCTCCTAGTAGAGCCCCTTGCTTCTCCCCCAGACAGCTCAGGCTGGAGACATGCAAAGACTGCGTGGGGAGTCAGGCTAGTCTGGGGGAACTGTGGAGAAGAAAAGAGTCAGGCTCTCAGAAGTAAGTGAGGAGTGCCTGATGCCTAAGAGGAGGACCCTGGAGCTGTACTCTACAGCACCATGGACGGGGCCAGAGACTGGAAAAGCCCCAACAGAGAAGTCTTTGCAATTTTTCAACAGGGAGATCCTGGCATTCTATATGGAACTGTCCTGCACATTGCAGGGTATTTACCTTCCCCGCCCTCTGGCCACCAAATGCCAGTAAATCCCTAGTTGCTGTTCCAACTAAAAATGTCCTGCACGTTTCCAGATGCCCACTAGGGGGCCTGTATCACCCTGATTACCATTTATCACGTATTTACTGATAAACTTTCTGATGAATGTGGTGGGAAATAATTCAGAGATAATAATTAGTGTTTCTCTTCTTCACAGGTTTTTTTTGGTTCCCCTCTCCACCACTACTCCCCTGCCTCCACCCATTACATCAGTAGCATTCATTGCTCCAGGATGAGGTTGTACGTAGCCAAGAACAAAGAAGACAACTACATTTCTGAATGGGATTTTTAAATCAAAACTGAAACAATAGGCTTTTTATTATAAGGGCAGGTTTCTTGAAAGCAAACAAGTTTTTGAGCTCTAAATGAGTAAGAGCTTGGGAGACTCAGGGCAGAGCATTTCTGCCATAAATCAACGAGTTAGGAGGTATGGAGCTGTCTACCCAAAGGAAACAGAAGTTCAACCTGCTGGAAAGAAGAGGAGAATCTGAGGGCATGTGACTAGAATTTAGATGCTGGGAGGTGCCTAAGAAAGGACTCTACCCTCCCTGTGCTCTCTCAGGCAGCTGAGAGGACAAGAAATTCTCTGGTGGAAGGCAGGAAGGTCTTTAGAGCAGAGAGGATCTTCATCTTGCTCCCAGCAGGCCTCACTGAGAAGCCCCCTGCTCCCCACACAGCTGAAGCAGGGTGCCTGACACATTGCTCTCCACCATCCAGGATACTGAGCATCCAACATTGCTGAGCACCCCCAAACAGCACAGAAGTGGCTGAGAGTGGGATGGCAGAATGAGAGGGGTCTTGTGGTCAGGGTGCAGCTAGCAGAGATGGATGCAGACATGAGGCAGCAGGGGAAAGTAGCTGACGACCAGCCTAGAGGGAATCGCCCATCTCAGCAGATCCTGGGCCAGCTGCCTCTGAGGTCAGCACAACATGTAAATCCCCAGAACAGAGAAGGAGAAGGGAGAGGGGAAAAAAAAAACCCTTGACTGACTGAGTTTAAATCTTTAAATTGCAAGGTTTACATAGAAGTTCAAGTCTTAGACCTTTAAGTGGAATGGGGGCTTAGTAACCAAGTGCAGACATAAAGAGCCCCAGGAAGTCGTCTTCAGTACATTAATGAATATTTACCCCCTCTTTAGTGAAGCCTTTTAAATTTGCGGGAGATAACTTGGCGCCAAATATCAGCTATTCAGCTTGTTCAGGATTAATTATTTGTGTGGCTTTGATGACTGTCTTTTCACAAACAAGTGCTCCTTTTACTTTCTGTGATTGTACATACCACTGAAGCAGCCCCTAACTATTATAGAGGCTGAAGATCTGTTAATTTTGACATATCAATGAATGAGATACTTCAGCTGGAATCTGTCCATTTTTTAATCAATGACATATTTACTCTCTAGTTTGTGGAAAGTGTACTCTTAAAATTAACAGTCACTAAGAAAACAACAAGCAATTAAACCTTAGGATAGTTTTCTTGAATCATCCTCCAAATTATCATAATTCTTAAATTGAGAACCGTAGTATAAATTCAGAGAGAAAAATTCCTTAGATTTGACTAAATATCTAGGAGCAAATGATTTTCTCTTTATTCACACTCTTGTAGAGGTTTTTTAATTCAGATGTCATTAACATTCAGATTTTAAATTTGATAGACATATTCGGTGTACAGACTCAACCTGCCTAAGAAGATGACTAAAACGGGCATTCCTATCTTATTGCACACACTCACTCCAAGTCAGCCTAGAGTTGATTTCCTTGTTTTGATACTGGTAAGAAGCTCATCCTGTTTTATATTAGTAATTCCCACCTTTCTCTCTCTCCAGAAAACAGTTCTCAAGGAATGCCAAAATAGCCTGAAAAACAAAACAAGAAAGTCTTAAGCTCTCGTAAGCACATAATCAGATGCTCCCGTCTTTCATTGTAAACTGCTGTTTGGTAAATTCTGTTTTATGTTTCAAAAGAGCAAAGTGGCAGTGTTCTAATACACTTCTAGTTTTACAACAAAGTCTTGCAAAAGTTCATGTTCTCATTGTTAAATATGTGGGTTTTTAAGGGCAGCCTCCTTGCCTTATGTCGAAACCAAGTGATAAAACAAAGGGATGTGCTGAAGTCGGTCTATTTTATTGCCTACCTGCCACCTTTTGTGGTTGAATTTTGTTACTTGATTTATGAAAAAAATCTGCAAGCTTGGTTTTTGGGTCATTTCTGACAGCCTTGTGGTTCATCCTATTGCTTAGGAGCTTTGCATTCTGCTTTTTGCTTGTTTTAGTTTTCAGTGAAAATGAGTTGGGAGCTTGCATGGTATCTATGCTGTAGCTATGTAAAGAATAAAGAGAGAAGACTTTTTAGACTTCTTAATCATATTTATGGTGTTTTCAGGGTAAAGATGGCTGAGGCCTGAATAGAACAGAAAGACAGTTGTGAATGTTGAATTTTTCTTCTTTTGATCACTTCATTCAGTAAGTAACAAGAAACACATGAACCATAAAATCCTAAGAACTAACTTTTAAGTTCAACATTTAAAAACCAAGAAATATGTGTGTTAAAAACTGGATATTAGTCACTGAGCATACCATGCAACTTATTTCTTGCCTTTATAACTACTTTTTCAAACAGGTTAAAAACTGATAAGAAGCTCTTGGGAAACTCTTATCAGTCATTGCAAAAACTAGCTTAACCCATCCTAATCTGGCAAAGACTTAAAGGACCTAAATTCCTAAAAGCATTAGGGGATTTTTTTTTTCTGTTTACTAAGTATGCTGTGTAAGAATCGTTTTTGTTACAACAAATTCAGAGTTAAAATATCTTTTTATTCATGTGATATACTTTGTGAGTGCATTTGCAGCTCATAAAGAGATGGTTGCTTAAGCTGACACTGCAGAACGTTGCCGGAAGTGTTGATTAGAATTTGCACATTTGTTCTGAGTCTGTGAATTCCAAGCGGGTTTGCTGATGGGAAGTACTGGCTCTTCCAGGGCTCTGTTCAGCTCTAGATCCTGGCCACTGAGTGGGTTTCCTATGTGATGACTGCTGCTAATATTTTGGTGCATATCCTTCCTGTCTTTTCCTCTCTTCATATACATTTTTAAATTTGCAAAATTAATCTCATAGTGTACTTGCTATTTCATAATCTTTTTTCATTAACAGTATGTCATTACTTTTTTTAAAAAAAAAGTTCAACCATGTAAGATGATCCATTATCTAGCTATAACAGAATTTATTAAACTACTTTCCTATTGTTAGACACTTAGGCTATTTCCAGTTTTTACCTATTGTACATATTGTTGTGACTAACATCCTTGAACTTAAATCTATGGGCATATCCTAATTATTTCCTGTAGATAAATTCTTAAAGATAATATGATTGGGTCAAAAGGCAACTGTTTTAAAATGATTACAGCATTATTACCACCCTAAGATAACCACTGCTAACAATTTGATGCATATTTTTACAGTCTTTTTAAAAACCTAATATGCACGTGCATGCATTTATATATTTATGTATATATAGCTTTTAAGAAATTATTGTGTTATGTATGGGGGGATATATTGAAGGATTTTAAGCAGAGAAATGATATGATCTGATTTTAATTTTAGAAGGATTACTCTGGCTGCCTTGTTGAAAATAGACTTCTGGAGAGCAACAGTAGAAGCAGGGAGCCTAGTTAGGAGTCTGTTATAGTAATCCAGGAGAGAGATGAGAGGGGGGGGAGCAGGGGGCAGCAATGGAGGTAGTGAATAGTGGTCAAACTCTGGATATATTTTTTCAGGAAGACAGAGGGGCTGTGGAATATGAGAGTAAGAAATAAGTGCAGATTGGCTCCAAGTTTAGAGACCTGAACAATTGGAAGAATGGCATTGACATCAAGTGACAGGGGAAAGGCAGGAGGTGGAGCAGGTTTGGGGAGAAGAAAGAGCAGGAGTTTAGTTTGGAGAGTGTGAGTTTGAGATATTTATTAGGTATCCAAGTGGAGATGTCCTGTAGGTTGTTGAATATATTATATATTCAACATATGAGTCTGATATATGATATATTCAATATATGAGTCTGGAGTTTTGGAGTCAGTAGTTGTTAGAAATACAAATTTGGGAATCCTTGGCATATAGATGATATTTAAAGCTAGGAGACTGAGTGAGATTACCAAGAGAGTGAGTACAGACAAAGAGAAGAGGGACTGAAGACTGGGGAGGGGGAGCATTCCAACTCGAAGAGCATTTACTACGCACCAGGCAGTGTTCTATGTACTTTGCATAGATTACAGGTTGACTCATTTAATCTCCAAGACAACTCAATGAAAGGATACTATTATTATCCCCAATTTACAGAGGAGGAATCTGAGGCACAGAAAGATTAAGTCAGTAAATCAATAGCTATTTCAGAATATAAATTGATGAAATAAGTTTTAACTCCCTTTGTGAATAATGCAAACTTATTTTGAATTAAATCATGTAAACTTTTTCTGCACAGGTTCTATCCATCAAGTCTCAAAAATCTTTGTAGTTAAACACTTCAGTTATACTTTAAAGAATCAGCATGACTAATCTGTCCAAAGGTGCTTTTCTTTCCAGCTGACAACACATTCTAGGAAAGAATGTTGAGGAGAAAAAAACCTTATGTTCAAAAAGGAGAGCCAATTTTAGTGTTCAGTATTTCTTAAAGACATTGTCTTAATTCACTTTCACGTGTCTCTTCCTCAAGGACCATGCATTTTCTAATTATATTTAAGGATGGGAGATGCAAGTTAATAAAGGGAAATTGTCATCACTCCTACCACCTCACCCTGTAATATTCTCAGAATATCTCAACGGGATACGATCTAAGGCTCTACCTCACCTTAACGGAAGCGTGCATAAGACAAGGAAAGACAAAAAGCACTATGATGGGTTAATCATTATAGAAGACTTCCAGGAAAAATATTTCAAGTTGTCCCATTGGTATCCTGGAGATTTTTACATAATGGGACAGGATGTGGATGAATGAAATTACAGCATGCTTTTCTACTTTCTCCTCTTCCTTGGGAAAAGGGTTTTTGTGAAAGAGGAGGTGGGTAGGAGAATTTGCGAAATGCTTTTTCAGACAGATCAATTTTAGGGAAAAGGACAAATGGAAGTTGAGGATCTGGAAATAAAATTTTCCATGCCAATAGTGCTCCCTGGAAAGTCTTCACATGCTTTTGGGGGTTCCCATAGCTCATAAAAGACTATAACTCATATAATGACTATTACCTTAAATAATTCTGATAGGAAGAAAAAAGGGAAGACATCTTAAAAAACCGGAAGTGGCTGTGGAGGTATTCCTCTACTGAGCCCAAAATATGAGACGATGGATAAATGTGTACATTCATCTAAATACTGGAGAGCAGCAAGGCCCTTGAATAACAATATCAGGAAAAGCAGATCCAGAAGGAGCTTAGAGATGTGAAAAACAGTAGAAAAACAAAAAGGGTCCTTTTAAGGTCATGTTCATAGCAAGAACAAAAAACAGAAGGACTCTGGGGAAAGATGATGTAATGTTAAAAAGATAACGGAGAGAGCAGAACTAACCAAAGCCTCTTTTTCTGCATTCTTCTCTTGATATCTACCTTCAAATGGAAAGGGTAAAAGAGTTAAGGTAGGAGGGAACCTAAGATCAAAGAAGGTAAGAAATAATTTAGTTATTTTAATGAGTTTGTTTTGACGTCCAGATGAATTGTATCCTGAGATATTTTGGAGAACTTGTAATTGTAATCATGCGACCACATTTAACAATCTTAGATTTTATAAACAGAAATTTTATGAATGGAAATTTGTATTTCTATTTATATTTGTTGTAAATTTTATAAACAGAAAGTCAGACCAGTTCATTAAGTATCAATGCTGTCAAACTAACCTTACATCTAAGAACCTATTACTCAACTTAAGACCTAGGCTTTGTAACTTTTTCATTTAACGTTGTATTGGAATAGTTCTCCAACATTTCTCATGAACTATTCTAATATACTATAATTTTAAATAGCTACATAGTGCTTAATTGTGTGAATATACCCTAAATTACTTAACCAATCCACCATAGTCAGTTTAGACTGTTTCACATTTTTGGCTTTTAAAAACCATGCTGGGATTATGATCACTTTACGTAAAACTTTGTAAATTATTATTATTTTTTAAATTTTAGGTGAAATTCCTAGAAAAGGAATAAATGAATCATAGGGCACCATATTTCAAAGTATTACCAAAACTGCTTCCAGAAGGAAGTGCCTATTTATATTCTCAACAATGATATATGGGTGCCTGTTTTTTTTGTTTAAGATTTTATTTTTCCTTTTTCTCCCAAAGCCCCCTGGTACATAGTTGTGTATTTTTCAGTTGTGGGTCCTTCTAGTTGTGGTATGTGGGACACCGCCTCAGCCTGGCTTGATGAGTGGTGTCACGTCCATGCCCAGGATTCGAACTGGTGAAACCCTAGGCTGCCTGCCAAAGCAGAGCGCGCGAACCTAACCACTCGGCCATGGGGCCGGCCCCTATGGGTGCCTGTTTTCCCAACCTTTGTCATTACTGGAAGATTTTGGTAGAAAAACTTTTTTTTGGAGATTTTTTTATTGTGGTAAAGTATACATAACATACAATTTACCATTTTAACCATTTTTAAGTGTACAAATCAGTAGCATTAAGTACACTCACAATGTTGTGCAACCACCACTACTGTCTATTTCCAGAACTTTTTCATCGTCCCAAAGAGAAACTGTGTAACCATTAAACAAAGAAAAACTTGAAAATAATTTTTTTTAAATATTGCCATTCTCTGGCTGTATGTTATTCAATCTCATCAACAATATTCCCGGACCCTGACCAATACAGAAGAATTCCAAGATCTTAGGAATGGGGAAGAATACTATGTCCTTTAGCCCAGTCAAGTTGACACAAAATTCACCATCACACAGAGATTCTGGCTTGACACTCTGTCGAGCTTATCCAGTGTAGCACTCTCAGCAGAGTATTTCTGAAACTGCATTACCCAGATTGAACTCTCAGTAGGTGTTCTGTGAAGAAAAAAGTTCCTTTAAATACATAGATGTAATGAAATGTCAAACACACCGCGACAGTTACTATTCTGGGACACTTGATCTTTAAGAAAAGGTGCACCACACACTGCTAACAGTGGTTACGTATGGGGAGGAGGCCTTTTACTCTTCCTCATACATTTTTTTTTATTGTGGTAAAATACACATAACATAAAATTTACCATTTTAGCTATTTTTAAGTGTACAGTTCAGTGGGATTAAGTATAGTCAGACTGTTGTGCAACCATCCCCGTTATATTTAGACACCGTTAGGCAGTCTCCCACACTGGCACGATGCCCAGATTGAAGTAGTTGTGATAGCGAAGCTGCTTTCTAGTTCTGGGAAGGATATTATCTACAGGTAAATCTGGAAATGTTGAAGCCATTTGGTTCTCATGAAGGAAGTTTTCAGGAGGCCCAAGTCAATACCAAGAAAGGCAGGGTGGAGCTGACAGAATCTCAGAGACATGAAGCTGGAGCGGTGATATACTTTCCGAAGCCTTCCCTACTTCTCCAGGGAAGTTTTCAGTGATAGGGTCCAATAACATATCATTTAGGCTATTTCGGCATTTCCTGCCCACTTAATACTTGTGAGAGAAAACGGCCTAAAAGAATTTTGAAGACACCCAAAGATTTATGTTGTATTTCTTCTCATTATATCATGTAAGTTTTGCCATAGCTATAATTTACATACCTCACTCATAAAGGTGTCAGCCTGTGGCAGAGACTGCTAGATTCCTGCTTTTTCTCTTTGTAAGAACGTTCAGATTTCATTGAGGGCAGCAACGTACCTGGATAAAGGAGCACATTTTCCACCTTCCCTTGTACAGAAGTGTGGCCATGTGACTAAGTTCTGGCCAATGAGATAAAAAGGAAAAATGTTGCTTAAGACCTGCAGGAAGGCTGAGAAAAGAGGCTGACTCAGCTGGGAGGGATGGGGGGCTTTATCCTTTCCCTTCCTCCTTCTCGGAAGGAGTTCTAGGAGCCATCTTGTACCATGAGGGGACACTGAGGATGGAAGCCAATGCTTCCCTGGGGAATGTGGAATCATGTTAGACCATTTACTTGTAGACATCTTTTATGTGAGAGAGAAAAATAAACGTCTTATGGTTTAAACAACTGTTAGTTTTTGGATTTTCTGTTATAATGTGTCTGAACCTAATTCTAACTGACTCAGCCTGAAACATATTCAAAGATTCAGTAAATCTACGTTTGACTGTATAGGTAGCAACTTTATGACTCATCAGGGAAAGACAATATTGTATGTATCAGAACCTACATAAAGGGAAGTTTTCATCTGAGTTAGTGTCCATTTTATCTAGATTGGAACTTGCCTAACTTGCATTGATCCAAATCCTTAACTAAGCCAGGCATACAAATACCTATGTGACATACACATTTGAATGTGTCCCAGGCACCTCAAACTTAACGAGTCTGGAACTGATCCTCCCTGTCTCACTCACGGCT